CGCGATTCGTAGACATCTCCTTTCTGAAGCGCTGGGCCAAGGCCTGCCCTACAGCCAAAAGCTTAGGGTTCAGGGTTCAGGGTTCAGGGTTCAGGGTTTAGGGTTTAGGGTTTAGGGTTTAGGGTTTAGGGTTTAGGGTTTAGGGTTGAGTTCAGGGTTTAGCTTATGGTTCAGGGTGCAGGGGACCTCAGCTCGGGCACCTCAACCCTTGATCCCCCCCTGGCAGCTCTATGTGGTGCCTTTGCCTTACACAGATGCACTGGGGGCGTCAAGCCCTAAACCCTGAACCCTAAACCCTTAACCCTTAACCCTTAAACCCTAAGCCCTAAGCCCTAAGCCCACAACCCTAAACCTTGAACCCTGAGCCCTGAGCCTTGAACCCTGAACCTCAAAGCCGCAAACTGGCCGACATGTGTAGCTCACGCTTCAGAATAGGACGTTGAGGTTCCCTTATCATCCCCCTTACATTTCAAAAGGGCACCCCTTTTGATTCCTAGGCTCCTCTTGGGTTTAGTGCAAGAACTTGTACATCATGTGCTCAACCGTGTGCCTCTTGTGTTCAGCTGCATGCCTATCCCCAATCGCTAGCTCTAAACCCTAAACCCTAAACCCTAAACCCTAAACCCTAAACCCTAAACCCTAAACCCCAAACCCTAAACCCTAAACCTCTGACCCTAAACCCTAACCCTTGAATCCCGCAACCCCTGAACCCTAAACCCTATAACCCAAAACCCTAAACCCTAAACCCTATAACCCTAAACCCTAAACCCTAAACCCTAAACCCTAAACCCTATAACCCTAAACCCTACACCTTGAATCCTCTGAATCCCTGCCCCGAGCCAGGTGTCCGAGTCTGCTTCCGAGGCGCTCTCTCAAGGAGATTTGGACGGGGTTTAGGGTTTAGGGTCGAGGGTGTAGGGTTTAGGGTTTAAGGTTTTAAGGTTTAGGGTTTGGGGTTTAGGGTTTAAGGTTTTAGTGTTTAGGGTTTTAGGGTTCGTCTTCTGTTAAGGGTTGGGGGATGTTGGGGTTTGGGTCCCAGAACTTCTGGGACTTCGGGGTGTGTTGTGCTTTGCATGGTTTCATGGTTACGCCTGTCGGGTTTCAGGGCTTAGGGCGTTTTTGGTGCTTGGGGGTCGCCCCCCCCCCCGCCCCTTCTGACAGGACTGCGCCGTCTTCGATCGCTGTCACTGGATGGCAACAACCTGGCGCAGAACCCGGAGTGCCATGTCCCAATTTGCTGGGCCCTGTAACTGACCCTAAGCCCTTCACTCTAAGGCCTCCGCAGCCCTCCAGACCCTAAACCTTCTATCTTACCTAAACCCTAATAGCCTAAACCCTAAACCCTAAACCCTAAACCCTAAACCCTAAACCCTAAACACCGAACCCTAAACCCCAAACCCTAAACCCCAAACCCTAAACCCTAAACCCCAAACCCCAAACCCCAAACCCCAAACCCCAAACCCCAAACCCCAAACCCCAAACCCCAAACCCCAAACCCCAAACCCCAAACCCTAAACCCTAAACCCTAAACCCTAAACCTAAACAACCCCTAAACTTATATACTTTAAGTACTTGTTTATTCAGCCCCAACCCTCAGCCCGCAACCCTCAACCACCTCTGTTACAGAACCATCCTGAAAGAGCTTTCCTTGAACGAATCGTATCCCTGAGGAGTTTAGGGTTTCTAGGGTTTCGGGTTTGGGGTTCGGGGTTTAGGGGTTTAGGGTTTGGGGTTTCTGAAGCCTGGATCACTTAACCCCCCCCCCCCCCGTCAAAAAAAGGAAAAAGAAATATAGTTCCGACTTCCAAACCATTCCAAACCTTTCTCGTAGCAAGTTGCCTACACATCCACAACTGTGGAACGTTGAGAGGTGACTAGTTGTGTGTTGGGGCCTGCTCCAGCACCTCAACTAAGCAAATCAGCCCTTCAGCGCCCCTGCAACTATCCAGGCGCACATAAACCCCAACCTCAAAACCATACACCCCAAGCAACGCACTGCCCTAAACCCTAAGACCTAAACCCTAAACCCTAAACCATAAACCCTAAACCCTAAACCCTAAAGGGGAGGGGGCAGGGGGGCGGGGGGGGGGGCTGGGGTTGGGGGGCTGAGGGACTCTCGAGCTAGAGCCCAGCCTTGCAGGATCTTCGAGCGTTGGTGCCAGGCAGTGGAGGCCGGTCCCAAGGAGAGAAGAGCTCTTTCTTAAAGTGAGGGCCGACAACCCTAAACCCTAAACCCCTAAACCCTAAACCCTAAACCCTGAAACGCCCTACGCCCTCAACCCACTGAGGGTTGCCCTGAATCCTTTGACTTGCCTTGTCTCCGCCATTGTCGCTGCCCAACCGTCCCCAGGGTACTTATAACCCCATTGGAACTGCACTTACAAGCCCCCTGAGTCGCCTAATGGGGTTTAGGGTTTAGGGTTATCAGTAGACTTTTATTTGGGTTGTAAGTATAGCTCCATGTAGGATCCTTGATGGTTCATTCTTCCTTTTGCTCACCCTCGCCGCCGGACTGCGTTTGAACAACGATTCGGCCTTTTAAACAGCTTAGGGTTTCTGATTTAGGGTTTAGGGTTTAGGTTTTCGGGTCTAGAATGAGGAGTGAGAAGTCAAGAACCAGGTACGGGTCCTTCACCCTCCGTGAGGGACAAGTGGGCCTATGGTTTAGGGTTTAGGGCTTAGGGTTTAGGGTTTAGGGTTTGGGGTCTAGGGTTTAGGGTTTAGGGTTTAGGGGGCTTAGGGTTTAGGGTTTAGGGTATGCATATACTGCATACTTAGACCTAGCAGAGTTTGGGGCCTAGGGCGAAGGATTTGGTGTTTAGGCTAATAGGGTGTGCGCAGACCCAGAAGGGATTCTTTGCGATTTAGGGTTTAGGGTTTAGGGTTTAGGGTTTAGGGTTTTGGGTTTTGGGTTTTGGGGTTCTCACTCGGGCAGGGACTTAGGCTGTCCCCTGCAAGGGTTTTCGGGCCACGGAGTGGACTTGTAGGGTTTCGGGTTGAGGGTTTAGGGTTGAGGGTTGAGGGTTTAGGGTCTAGGGTTTCTGTTTGTGTTCAAACCTCCGGAATATGATCAAGATGGGCTTTCATTTCTCTGCCCGGCCACACTTTGATGTTTGTGTCCCTGTAGCCCAGGAGCTACTCGCTAAGTTCCAGGAATCTGTCAGAAGGTTACCCGAAACCCTAAACCCTAAACCCTTATAAGTCGCAGTCAGAGTTTGGAAGATGCCCATGACTTTGTGGTGTATTCGGGGCTACAAAGCAGCGAAGGAGGCTGCTAACAACAGCGACCTCCTTCAAACCGGTGCAACCTTGAGTCCACAATGGTGCCCCATGGTTAAAAGCTCTGGAGACAAGGCGACTGGACCAAGCAGCTATGTCGCAGCAATCGTTTCCAGGGCTGAGGGTTGAGGGCTTAGGGACCCTAAAGCCTAAACCCTAAACCCTAAACCCTAAACCCTAAACCCTAAACCCTAAACCCTAAACCCTAAACCCTAAACCCTCAAAAAATCCTTACGAGCCTTATAGGTCTGAAAAAGGTCTTTGTGGCTCGGCCAGGCGCACCCCGGCCTGCAGCACCTGTCCCTCCAGAAGACAGGCGCTTTAGGGTTTAGGGTTTAGGGTTTAGGGTTTAGGGTTTAGGGTTTAGGGTTTAGGGTTTAGGGTTTAGGGTTTAGGGTTCAGCAGCTCCGGATCGAGCAGTTTTATGGTAAAGTTATATTTACGGCTCTGATTTAACACCCACCCACCCAGAGAATCTCAGAATAAAAATGCACGTATTCTCCAAGCATCTAAGCTTCAAAGGCCCATGCTTGAAACGAACGTACACAGCAAAAACAACTAAGATTGCTAACTTCATGTTCTTGCCATTGCATCTATTGCGCGCTGCGTTAGCCTCTCCAAACCCTACGTAGTCCGTGAGGCCCTGAAACCCTAAACTGCAGGCCGTGAGAACCTCAAACCCCAAACCCGGGCCTTGAGGCCCTGAAACCCTAAACTCCAGGCCTTGAGGGCTTAAATCCTAGCTCTAAACCCTAAACCCTAAACCCTAAACCCTAAACCCCAGGCCTTGATGCCCGCCTGAAACCGGTTCAAGGCCAAAAGTTCGTGGTTCAAGGCCGAGCGTGATCCGACTCCCAGATCTTAAAATGCCTAGATGCCGGCGTTGTACTTGCAGAAGGAGCTGCAGCGACGAAACACACATACCCTTATTGAACGATTGGTCCCTTAATATGGTTAGGGTTTAATTTGGGGTTTAGGGTTTAGGGATTCGGGCTTTATGGCCGCAAACCCGAAACCTTAAATCTTCATGGGCCTTTCGGGACCAAGAAGTAGATTACCTTATAAGGGGTTTCGAAGAATGACGCAATAGTAGTTTGGGTACTAGTTGGGGGTTTGGGGTCTAGGGTTTATGAGCTTAGATTTTATCTTCATGAGATTTTCATGCACTCTCCTACTCTCCTAATCCTCCCCCTCCTAAGGAGCTCCCCAATGTAAGTTGTCAAGTTGTACCAGATACCTGAAACCCTCAACCCGCAGGCCTGAAGCCCGAAATCCCGCAAGCCTTACAGGCATGGACGCCTACAGGGTGGGGCCCCCTAGTTACAAGTAGAGTTATAAGGGCCCTAAATTGGGTTATAAGGACCCTAAGTTAGGTTATAAGTCCCTTAACTACAGTTAGTATAGTAAGGGGGCCCCACCCTGTAGAGTCCTTAGCTAAGAGGTTGCCTGAGCGCAGAGACTCTTCTCTCCGATCACATTTAGCAGGGTGCGGAGGAGTGTAATCTGTAGATAAAACCTGATAGCAGCACTTCTATTCATTCACCCACTCACCTAAAAGCGCCCGTGAAAGATGCCCTAAGCGCCGACCCCCCCCCCACCCCCCTTTGGAGGTCAGGCTCGACTAAAGACGCGGTTGGGATTTTTTCCAAGCTTCAGCACTAGCTGCCGAGGGGATAGACGCTTAGCTCCACGCCAGCGCCACAAGCCCACATTTCCTGTGCATGATGCCAGAGACTGCAGATGTGGATGGCGACGACGTGCCATCCATCGCAAACAACCAGTCTGTTATCGGTGCCCTGTTGCTGGCTTTCACATACGCAAACGATGCAGCGTCCATCGATGTTGAAGCGGTGTGTGACGATTTGGACTCCTGTGACACCGTGTGGGGAAGCGTGACAGTGGCCAGGGATGTACTGGCCACGTACCGTGCCATGAACTACATCTGCACAGGGCTGTTTCTGAGCAGCATCCTGTTCAATTCAGTTCTCATCCATCAGCACCTTGGGGACCCAAACGTAGGGATTATTGTAGTATAGGCATAGGGTGTTTGACCCCAACTTGAAGGTTTACTTGATCCTCCAGGTATGCTATTGTTCCAAAGAGCGAGGCATCTGCTTTGACAAGAATGCTTGGATGGAGGATGCATCTTTCGACGTGGTTGATGTCAGCTGCAACCATCGTATTCAGTGTGCAAGTTGTTCTGCAGGCTGGGATGGAGACAAGCACTCTTGCGCTTACTGTTGGTTACTAGGGAATGAGGGAATGAGGTACCCTATAGAATCCCTTAAAGGGTATATACAAGGGGATGTAGGGTACATCATTCCCTCATTCCCTGCTAACCAGCAGTAAGTAAGGGGCCATTTGGGCGCAAGTCATCAAAGCATGCCATGCGCACCATGTTGCACTTTGCGGAAAGCAGAGGGGGCCCCAAGAACCGCATAAACACAAGGACTCTACAAACATGGTTTTCTAGAATCCCCCAACAAGGGCCCCCAATAGTCCCAAATACCGGACCCCCAAGGTCTCGTTGGTGTTCAAGGCCGTCGTCTTCTTGCCCATCGCAGTCTTCGGTCTTGCAATCTTCCTGATCGTCTTTTCTGCCATCGCAACTCCGCTTTCAGCCACGCCCTTGATGGTAAGGTTTTGAGCTTGAGTACTATAGGGGCCTTGATAGTTAGAATAGGGTTTTGGGGGTTATTATAGTATAGTATACGGGAATACCATTAGTAATTATTTTGACCCGTATATTCGACCAGCTGAAGTGACTGCTAAGAGCCCAAGAATGAGCCCAGGTACACGTGCGAGCATCAAGGAAGCGCTTGTATACGAGAGATCGGGAAGGCTTCATTGACGGTGTGCTGCTGGCGTGCGAGCACGACTCAGATGTCGACTAGCAGATCCCAGTTGGTTCTTCAAGGCGATGAGGGAGAAAACTGCCTGGCTGGAGCGAGGCAAAACGAGCCGGAACCCCCTGGAACAACGCCCTTGCCGGGAAGATTCTGCTACTGCTACCAGTGGCGTGGCGCAAGGAACTGATCCTCTCCTGAGATCACGGAGTGGCGCGTTGTCTCGCACGTTCATTACGAGCACTAGGCAGTCCAGTTGGCTTCAGGATGTAGTGCCGGGGTTGCAAAGATAAAAGGTACGACCGGCTGGGATGGGCTTGGCTCCTGCTTGAAACTCTTTAGGGTTTAGGGTTTAGGGTTGAGGGTTTAGGGTTTGGGGTTTAGGGTTTAGGGCTTAGGGTTTCCCAGCTCCTTTAGACAAAAAACCGAGTAGCCTGGACACTTTCTAGGTTACGTCGGATCTGGCTGTTGCCTGAGAAACACCTCAGCATCACCACCCTGCAAGACACACAGGATCTTATGGACTTTTGCTTGCCCTAAACCCTAAACCCTAAACCCTAAACCCTAAACACCAGAGACTTCAGGGTTTAGGGCTTAAGGGCCCAGGACCCAAGCTTTGGGATGCTTCGCGCGACGACCGTAAACCCGAGCACCTCAGCCCTGAACCCATAACCCTAAACCCTAAACCCTAAACCCTAAACCCTAAACCCTTTGTTCTAAGCATCGTTTATACAGGTCTGCGGACGATTTGGGCCCTGAACCGTAAGCATTTTAGCTACTCTAAACCCTAAACTCTAGACCCGAATGAACCCCTAAACCCTAAACCCTAAACCCTAAACCCTAATCCCTAAACCCTAAACCCTAAACCCTAAATCTGGCGAAGAGGCCTTGGCGATGACCAGGCACGGCGTCTGGCGGAGGCGAAGAACTTCAGGGATGGGGGGGGGGGGGGGCAACCGGGGTTCTGCGATGCGTCCCTAAACCTGCGGCTAAGGTTTAGGGTTTAGGATTTAGGGTTTAGGGTTGAGGGTTGAGGGTTTAGGGTAACCTTAAACACCCTAAACACCTCAAAGCCCGAAAAGCCGAATAGAACGGCTTGTAGGCAGAAGGCCTGGGCAGGGTTTCGGGTTGAGGGTTGAGGGTGAGGGGTTTAGGGTTTAGGGTTTAGGGTTTAGGGTTTAGGGTTTAGGGTTTAGGGTTTAGGGTTTAGGGTTTAGGGTTTGCCGTTGAACTCTGAGAGGTCCTCCGCAACCACTCGCTGCTCTTCTCCCTGGACCTGGGCCTCAACGCAATTTCAGATCAAGGCACGGACTAGGGTTTAGGGTTTAGGGTTTAGGGTTCAGGGTTTAGGGTTTAGGGACCCGAAACCCCCAAGCAAGTGCAAGGTGCCTCAGAACTTCTCGCGGCCATGGAGGAGAATCGCATCCTCCTGGATTCTGGCCTGTACGGTTTAGGGTTTAGGGTTTAGGGTTTAGGGTTTAGGGTTTAGGGTTTAGGGTTTAGGGTTTAGGGTTTAGGGTTTAGGGTTTAGGGATGGGGCCCTAAACCTTAAACCCGAAACCTTGCTGCCCGGCTCAGGAGTTGGCTAAGTCAATGGCTAGCAGGTTTGCTATGATTATTTGCATTGGTTGTATTGTTCGCATTATTTGCCTTATGATCATTACTAGGTTCATTCTGAGTGCCATTTCTTGTGGGTTTATGCGTAGGAAATATGTTGTTGTGCCTGTCGCCTTTTTTTTTTTTTGGGGGGGGGGGGGGGTTCGGGAAAGGCTACATGCCAGGTACTTGGAAGCCTCGTCGTGATTGATTGATGGCTTGCATCTTGGGACCCCCAAAAGCCCTCTGGAACCCTCAAAGAAATCTTGGGCATGAGGGTTTGCGAAAATAGGGGTACTCTTTTTGGGGGTCCCTTTCAGGGCACTCCTATTCTGTTTGGGGTGTAAAGGGGGTACCCCTATTTTGGGAAATGCCCACATGTTTCAGGATTTAGGGCTTAGGCCTTAGGACTCAGGGGGTTTAGGGTTTAGGGTTTAGTGTTTAGGGTTTAGGGTTTAGGGTTTGGCGGCTCAGGAAGTACGGCTGGAGGGCACTGACATCAGCGAATCTATGCGTGTGCAGCTTGCTGATGCTGTGGACAGGAACAAGTCGAGGCACAGAGCTGTGCATCCAGGGTTTAGGGTTTAGGGTTTAGGGTTTAGGGTTTAGGGTTTAGGGATTGCAGTTCACATACACCAGATGCGCCTGCCCAGTGTTTGAGTCTTTTCCAGGGCTGAATACCCGAAACCCTGAGTCTGGAGTAAAGGAAACTGGCACAGGAAGGAAGGAAGGGGGTTGGGGGGGTGGGGGTACTCTCATCCACCCCACCCATCCCACCGTAAGGTAAGTAGGGACCAAAGGGTTCCTAGGATGATCTCAGGTCCTGTTTGCATGCTCAAGCGCTTGATGAGGCTTGAAGGGGTCTCGCAACCCCTAAACCCTAAACCCTAAACCCTAAACCCTAAACTCCAAACCCTAAACCCTAAACCCTACACCCTACACCCTAAACCCTAACAAGGCTAAGGGATCAGAGGAAGGTCCTGGAGCTTAGGGGTCGGGGTCGGGGATGGAGGTCACGAACTTCCAATCCCCATTCCCTGTCGTACTACCTCCCACCCCTCCCAAACAGAAAAGTATAGGTACCTGAGGTACAGTCCTTATATGTCGCGCATCCGGTTTCCATTTTCTGATCATGCTTGTTTGTTTGTGGCGGGGGGGAGGGGGGGGGAACCCTAAACCCTAAACCTTAAACCCTAAACCCTCAACCCAAAAGCCCCCGATTTCCTGCTGAGCTTCAGCCTTCGGGTTGAGAGGCGCATGAGGGTTTAGGGCTGAGGAGCACATAGTTGCCTATCTCCCCTCGGCTACAAGGTTTGGGGTTTGGGTCTAGGGTTTTCGGCTTTAGGGTTTAGGGCTTAGATTTAAGACCAGGATTGCCTGTATTGTCTGAGAGAGGGGTTGGGAATTGTTTTTGTGAATTATTTGTGATTTGCTTGTGATCGGCAAGTGTGATTTTTGCTTGAATCAGGATTTGGCAGGTCCTGGCTATGCGATTTCGGTGTGAATTGTTTGTGATTTTTTGTGTTTTGTTGGTGATGTATTTGTGCTTTATTTGTGATTTATTTGTTTTTTTGTGTGATTTGTTTGTGACTGTTTCGGTGTTCCGTGTGTGGTGTGTGTTTTCGTTTTTTGTGATGTTATGGGTGTGTGTTTGGAGTATTGCACTGCCTCAACAGATCGCATGGCCCAAGAGGGGAGGGGTGGCGCGGGGGGAGGTGGGGGGGCGGTGGGGCGGGGTGCGCCATGGGTTTGGGACCCCAGACCCTTTCAAGGAACCGTGCGAGGGGGAGGGGGGGCGGGGTGCGGGGGGGCGTGGGGGGTGTTGGGGGGGTGTGGGGCGTGGGGCAGGGGCGGGCGGGGGGTGGGGGAGGGGGGGGGGGAGCGGCCGGGACACTTTTTCACACTTTTTTCACACTTTTTTCACACTTGTTTCACACTTTTTTCACACTTTTTTCACACTTGTTTCACACTTTTTTCACACTTTTTTCACACTTTTACCAAGCCCTCCGCCCCCACCAGCACAAGCCCTCACAAGCCCACACCGGGGAGCGCGCGTGCGCGGCCTCACAAAAGTGTGAAAAAAGTGTCCCGGCACCCTAGCACACCCCTCATGCCCTGCCCCCCAAAAGTGTGAAAAAAGTGTTCCGGCCGCCACCCGCCCCCACCACCCCCCGAAGCTGGGAAGGCTTAAGAGGGGGTAGGCTTGGCCTGGCCTGGCCTATACCTTTACAGGCCAAGCCAGCTGAAGGCGCACTAACAGCCAATAGCTGCAGCTGAAGAGCTGCGCCCCAACACCCCAGACTCCGAACAAAAACACACAAACCTCAACCATAAACATCGTGGACCCTCAAAGCAAAATGCCTATCCCTGTAGCCCTAGCCCTGCAACCTGGCTGCAACCCTTAAGCCCGAGCAGCAGGAAAGCAATATTGGACTAATAATCATTCATAATCCTTCACCAACGGATTATCAATGTTTCGCATTTATTCTACACTTATATTTCAGACGGAAGGAGAGATGGTCACAGATTTTTCACACATTTTTCACACTTATTTTACACTTCAGTGAGCTCTCCGAATCTCCTGGGAACACTTATTTCAATCTTTGTTCACACATTCGGATCATACACATTTCACACTTTTTTTACAAAATAATTATTTGGTGATTTCCAGCCTATATGGGGGAGCCCTGGTCACAAGCTTAGATTTGAGGGTCCATGTAACTCATTATTATGTACCTGGACCCTAAGATCGCGAAATAGGAAGTACTTTAAGGCGCAAGTAAGCCCTTTTTAAGTACATGGGCCCTGAGGGTTAGACTTGAGGGCACATGCATGGCTTGGTCAAAACCCTCAGCCCTTGTCTGTCACGGGTGTCCCGTACCACCCCCCTTAAGAAAAGGTTTCTCCCAGAGGATCCGACAAAATCAGTAGGGAAAATATAACATCTGATCCCCCTTTTCCTGGGGGGGGGGGGGGAGGGGGAGGGGGCGAGGTTTGGGGCACCCTATGATTGCGGGGATTCAGGAGGTTAGGGTTTAGGGTTGGGATGTTCCTGCTTTTCTCACACTCCTTAAGGGGATTATAGTACCCCCCCCCCCATTAGAATCCCTATCAAGGCCTATTAGTATAAGGAGGAACATCCCCAGTCTAGGGTCTAGCGCTTCGCAACGTGTAGGACCCGGAGAAGGCCCTTATTTCCTTTGGGTTTAGGGTTTAGGGTTTAGGGTTTAGGGTTTAGGGTTTAGGGTTTAGGGTTTAGGGTAAACCAAAAAGGGTACCCATTTTATTCTTAGATTACTCCTGGGTCTAGACGTATAGGGGATTGTGGCAGACGTCGCCAAAAGAGGTATGAAGGCGCCCGGCCTGTGACCGAAGTCCTGCGAGGCCCTTCCGTGCAGGATTGCTCATTTGCCTTAAACCCTAAACCCCTAAACTCCTAAACCCTAAACTCC